GGGGGGGGGTTGCCATAAGGCGGCCGAGGCTGCTGGTGGCCTAGAGGAGGGCGAGGCGAGCGAGGCGCGCTGCTGCTGCACAATTAAGCCAGCGGGCACAAAAGAGAAGTGGGCGACGAAGGCTTGGGCAGAATTTTAAACGGGCCAAAATTACTGTTCAGTATTCCAGGGGTTATGGCCGGACTAATGGGCAAGCCGTGTTCCAGTCAATGCGGCTCATTTGAAAGTCCCGCCTCCCCTTCCTTCCCCCTTTCTCTCCATCTCTCTCCCCCCTTCTCCCTCGTCCTCTCTTACTCTCACACACATTCTAAAGCCCTTGATACCCTGCCCCATCCCTCACCCCCCCCCCCTCTCTCTCTCGGGGGTTGACGCCGTGGACGCTCCCTGGCTCACGATTGAGAGAGAAATCGAGATTTGATTTCGACGTTCGCGTATGTGTGTGTGTGTGTTTGTGTGCCAACCCCCCGCGCGCTCGCATGTGAACCTGACAGAGAGGGGTAGAGGAGGGAAGGTTGGAGTCGTAATGCCTGGCGCTAAAAGCATGCATGGCATGGCACTCTACCTGAGAGAGGGAGAGAAGGTAAATGCCTGGTCCTGCATGGGAGGCGGGGCGGGCGAATGTGATGGGGGGAAGGGTATGGTATGGGACGCAGAGAATCAAAAGCGAACAGCTGTGAAACCGATATAGGAGTGTAAATTTCCGGGAATTTTGCAAAACACGCGGGCGCGGGGGGAAAATTAGTGAACCGAGGATTATGCTGGTGTGTGACGTGCCATTCACGGGGTGTACGGCGGGGGCGGGGAGTTTGTTATTACTGTCGCAGGGCGTCATTCCCTCGGCGGGAAGTCGTCAAGGCGAAAAATGAGGGGAGATAATGACGGAAAGAGTGCGTCGCGTGAGATCTTGTGCGCGACTCTGTTTATACGACTGTTTGCACTCCCGAGAAAAAAAAGGGGGGTGGCTTATGCCAAGTTCACATTTATTAACGGATTGTGAAGTGAACTAAATGAAGGCGCGAACTGTCAAATCAGTACGGTGACAAGCAATTGGAAGGATCCCGTAAAGTAGGCTCCCGAAGACATCTGGACTGGATAACTTGCTCAGTATGGATTCGGTACATATTCGAGGCAGAACTTGTGCGGGAACTCTTTGGCAGTGTGTTCGTTGTCAGGCCGCTGCTCCCGCCCCGCCGGCCTGACGATATATAAATTGCCCTCGACGTTATTTGTCGGCACACGCGACACTTTGTTGCGGAGCGAGTGCGCCGTGTGTGAGTGAGACAAAGCGAGAGAGGGAGAGAGAGAGAGAGAGAGAGAGAGAGAAGGGGGGGGGGGAGAAAGTTTTGGGAGAGACGTGGGGCGGAGAGACGAGACAAGAGGGGTGCTTCACCTCCCCGCCGAATGCAGCACAAGGGCGATTAAGCACCCCGGAACCCACCCCGGGCGGGCAGCACACACGTGAGCACAGCAGGGAAATCAGAAGTCGCATCCAAGTGGGGAAGAGGGGGGAGGGGGTCTGCGTCAGGGAATGGAGATTTACGGGGCGGGCGTCGCCAACTTGGAGCGACAATCAATCCCCTGAAGCTAGTTCTGCTTATAGCGTTTTGTTTCGGGAGGGAG